TCCAGGGTAGGATTTCAGGGAAACTGTACAGGAGGACCTGGAGAATTGGCAAGAACGATGCTTACAGGCGGAGTACCAGGTCGAGGAAATGCGAGAAAAGCTAATAGAGAGCTATGCCCAGGCAGAAAAGACAGGGAAAGCGATAACACAAGAAATAGAGAAGGTGAGAGACTATATGGCCAGTCATGAGGCATTAGAAGAGCAGAAGCAGTCCCTGGAGACAGAGGTAAAAGCCAGAACACAGGAGTGTGTAGAGTTGCAGGCCCAATGACAAAGGGTAGAAAAGGAGAAGGACCAATTGAGGGAAGAAATACGGTCCCTGAAGGCCCTATTAAAAGAGAGCACAGCCAGGGAGCTAGCATGCCGAGAAAGGATTGAACAACAATCAGTACCGGCTGCTCAGATACAAAGCAAGAGACTGACCATGATAAGCAGCCTGTTGGAGGAACATGCCTCCATGATTAAGGCAGGATGCGAGGAGCACCTTAAGGAGTCTAAAAGCTTGAAAGAGACTCTAATAGACACAGAGAAACTGATAGAGACTGCACAGCCCAGGCTCCTAAAGGTCCTGAAAACCCAGGGACCACCTAAGACGAAAGGCTTAGAAATTCCTAAAGAAGAAGGAACAGAGCTGCAGGAAAAGAATACAGGGATGGAGGCACTCTCAGGGGTAGACTCCACAAGAATGAGAGAAGAGATCACATCCATAGTTATGGAGTGCCTGAATCAGAGATGGGGTCAATGGGCGAGTCAGTATGCTCAAGAAATGAACTGCCTGAGGGAAAAACTGGAGAAAGTTGCTAGCTGGTGTGATGCTGGAATATTGACAGCACCAAAACAAGGGCAACTGAGGGAACTAAACCAGGGAAAGGTGGCAACTGTACAAGAGAGTGAGCCGGTTAGTAGAAGAGATGAGAGCAGTGACCTAAACGACCTAGTTCACACTCAGAAGGGGGGACAGACAAAACAGAAAGGCCAGAGACCAAAGATGGCCCAGGCTTGGGCATATAATAGACAAGGGGCAGCTTCTAAAGGAGAGAAAGCGGTAGAACCTCCAAGTAAAAGAGAGGTCCAAAGGCCTGAGGGGGACCAGAGGAGCCAAACCTCCAGAGAAACTAAGGGGGGAGGAGAAAGACATCTCAAGCTGCACCCTAAGAATGAAATATCCAGCCCTGCACAGAAGCAGAGATCGAATCGAACCCAGACTGCAGGCCAAACTGAAGAGGCAGAAGGTCCATCAATAACCAAGGTAATTTGGGTGGAGAAAGAACAACAGGGAGGAAGGCGGCCATGCGTGTACGTTAACAACCTCCCAGGGCAAGTCAGATGGTGGACACTGAGGCAAATAGTTGAAGCCAGAATCAGGGGAGTCACATTTGCAAAGATATATACAGGGCCTGGTGGCAGATCTACAGGCCGAGATAAAATAGAATTTTGGAGGGAGGAAGATGCCCGACGTGCACTTAGGATGCAGTGGGAGCTTTGGGGAAAGCTCAGGGATTGGCAAGAAACCAAGGAAAGGAGGGATTTATTACAAGAAACACAAAGGAAAGGAGACCTGGGACACAGATGGAGGAAAAGGGACAAGATACCCCAAGTAGCAGAAGGTAGCTCTCCCAGGAAGAGAGAGGAGGCTTTGTCTCCATAGTGATGGGGCAGTGAAGGAGGAAAAGAGAGGCCTGGTTTGCACCTTACCAGGGATGGCTAATGTGGGAGGACTACCTGCGGCGGGGTAACTCCCGAGAAATCCCACATGGTGCGCCCTGGGGAAATGGCGAGGAGGAGGCGCCTAAAAACCTCCGCCTATTGCATTTGAGTCACCGGGTGCCTGAAGAAAGGCCGAGAAGAGTCACCAAGTCCAGCAACACCGGAAGAGAGTGAAGATCCACCTCGGTGAGTCCGATCTTAAGGGGGGAGGTATGTCACAGGGCACCTTGGTGCTCTGCTCCTAGAGACTGGAAACTGCCAGGGAGAGAGCCCTGGCAGGACATAACGAGCACAGCTGCGGGTTGCCTGGGAAAACCAGGAAGTCAGCTGACCGGAGGGGGCAGGGCCTGGCCCTCATAAAGCCCAGGGCTGAGGCCAGGCTGGCAGTTCCCTGCCAGCAGCCAGAGAGGCAGGAGCTCCCTCAGCCAGGATGAGGGAAGAAGCCTGATCACAAGTACAGCTCATGATAGCTCTGGAGGCTTGAGCAATGATGCTAAGTTATAGCCAGGTGGCTTCTGCGGTTATAGCCAGGCGGCTTATAGTTATGTTGTAGCCTAGGGGCTTGTGGTTATGTTTTGTCGTTGTATTACACCGGTGGTTTGGGTGAGGCTATAAGGGGTTGGAGGAGGCCTCATAGGGACCCCCAGTGGGGTGGGGGCCCCAGCGCCAGTGAGGGTGCAGTATCCTCATTGGGCACTCACAACGGAGTGTGAGGACCTTGGCGCCAGTGCGGGCGTGACGAGCCCCAGAGAGGGGGCACGATTGAGAATCCCAGTACGGGCGTGACGAGCCCTAGGAAGGGGGCAACTTTGAGAAGCCCTAGTTGGGCACAACGAGCCCCAGGAAGGGGGCAACTTTGAGAAGCCCAAGTTGGGCACAACGAGCCCCAGGGAAGGGGACAGCCATTTAAGGAGCCCAGCGTGGGCAAGGCGAGCCCCAGTAGCGGGCATTACTAGGAAGTCCCAGTGCGGGCATGATGAGCCCCAGAGACAGGGCGTTTTGAGAAGCCCAGTGCAGGCGTGACGAGCCCCAGAGAGGGGGCATGATTGAGAAGCCCAGTGCGGCCGTGACGAGCCCCAGGAAGGGGGCAACTTAGAGAAGCCCAAGTTGGGCACAATGAGGCCCAGGAAGGGGCAACTTAGAGAAGCCCAGTGCGGGCACGGCGAGCCCCAGGAGGGGGCACTACTAGGAGGTCCCATTGTGGGTGTGACGAGCCCCAGAGATGGGGTGTTACTGAGAAGCCCAAGTGTGGGTGTAGAGAGCCCCCAGGAGGAGGGCAGCATTTTAAGAAGCCCAAGGTGAGCAAGGCGAGCCCCAAAGAGGGGAGCGCCTTATTAGAGAAGGCCCCAGAGAAGGGGGCGGCACACCAGGGAAGGCCCCAGAGAAGGGGGCGGCACACCAGGGAAGGCCCGGGAGACGGGCATGAATATAGACAGAGAGACAGACCAACGTCGATTCCATCCGCGAGGCTTGGGGCGTGGTATCGGGGGTGGTTGGAGCCACGCGTAGCCCATAAGGCTAGGGTGCCTGGGAAGCACCCATCATACAGGGAGACCCCCGGTGGGTCCGGGAAAACATGGGGACAGAGGTCCCAACTAACCGGGCCCAAGGAGACGTGAGGCAGCCGCCCAACTTAACTTAAGATCAAAGACGTGGCAGGCGAGAATAGAGGGTGCCCTTGGGCCGACTTGGCACGGAGGAAGGGGCCTCAAGGAGTTCACGGCCCTCCTGCAGGACCCTGCCGTGACAGTCTGTCTTAGAGAGTATCTTCTCCTAATATGCAGCGTCAAAAGATTCTTGCAGAATTAATTACTTCTTGCTTTTGGGACATCTCTCAAGTTTCTTATTCCCCAAGACTGAGAGTTCTAGTCCCCAGAGAAGAAAAATCAATGGCCTGTAAGTCAGGTCCTCTGAAACTCTTTTGAGAGCATTCTTGTTCAGTTACCTTTCTTCATAATTTTTTTTTTTTTTTTTAGTGAATTAAGTACTTAAAAAAAAAAAAAAAAAAAAAGCAGATGGATTTCCCGGAGCAGAAAAGAAAGCAGCCTATACAGAGATCCTAGCTGCATAAACCTGCTCAAAATGGAATTCCTCCCTAGGGGAAGGTACCTAAGCACTACCTATTGTAGCATCTAAGTATAGGTACCCTGGAATTCATTTGGAACTCACCCTTAACACTTGGCTATTTTGAGTCTCACTTTTCCATCTGAAAAGTGGAGTGAATAAATTTCTCAGCCTTGTGAGGATGTTCTGAAGCTTCCTTTTATTAAATTATTTAAACTGCTCCAGAGGATTAGCTTGAGGGCAAATAGAACTAGAACAAAAGAATGCAAATAGAACTAGTCTTTGTTTCCTATACATACCAGTTTTATTAACTCTCATGTTGGTCTTCAGGGTCCACTGGAGGGCATCATGTGAATTTCCAGCTGTACAGAACAATTCTACTCAGAAAGATGTTGAATGATGTTGATGTTTGACCTTAGGTAGTCAAAGGGTCTCTGGTTGTTCTGGGGTTGGTAAAAAGGAGGGTAGCTTACTTAGATTAGAAACACAGTTGGGTTGTGGACTACACCCAGCATGATCACAAGAAACACTTGCTTTTTAATTCTGGCTCTGGGGTGCCAGTCAAGACACCTGAAACCAATGGGTGTTAGGTCCTAAAGAGGAGATAAGCACCTAAATACCTTTGAAGATGTGGGCCCTATCCTCCTTAGAAAGGGAAGAATTTCAATAGCAAACCTACAGAAGGATTCCTTGAGATAAACATTCCAAGAAATAATGGCCACAGGCTAGCAGAGAGCAGATTTAGATTGGACATTAGGAGGAACTTCTTCACAGTTCGAGTGGCCAAGGTCTGGAACGGGCTCCCAAGGGAGGTGGTGCTCTCCCCTACCCTGGGGGTCTTCAAGAGGAGGTTAGATAACCATCTAGCTGAGGTCATCTAGATCCAGCACTCTTTCCTGCCTATGCAGGGGGTCGGACTCAATGATCTATTGAGGTCCCTTCCGACCCTAACGTCTATGAATCTATGAAACAGTATAAATTGAGAGCTAAAATATTCTGTCATCTACTGTGAGAAGATTAGGAATTTTATCCTGTTAGAAATATTTTCCCAAGGCTAGGTCCTGAAATCCTTATTCAGATAAAATGCTAACTTTTCCTGAGTAAAGTTTCCAGGTTTAAATTTTACTAAAGAACTATTATCAAGATTATTTTTTTCAGAAACTGGCTTTCTACCCAACTACTTTAATAATGATACACTATTAATTCTGCAATTTAATATTTTATATTAGGATCTTAACCTCATCAGTATGCTTGCTGCCAATGCTACAGTTGGTGAATGGAATCTCCAGGGTCTTCCAAATGATGACCTTTCAATTCAGAATGGAATTATTGTCACAAAGGCATCTCGATATCCTTTGTTGATTGACCCACAAGGTCAAGGAAAGATCTGGATTAAAAATAAAGAAAAGAATAATGAACTCCAGGTACACTCTTTGTTTAAAACAGTTTTCATTTCTGTCTCCTCTTAGACCACTACTAGTAGTACAATTTCTTTTACAAAATAAAATGCTACCACGTATGGGTCATATATTGTGGTATCTGGAATCAAATATTCATTTTATACTATCTCTGGTGTAAAGATATAAAGAAATGTTGAAATGTTTGTGTGTATAAATATATAAAAAACATTTACATATATATTTATATATACACATGCATAAATGTGTATATTTTATTAATACATTGTATATTTTTGTGAGGAATGTTTTATTAATTTGCCTACAGAAAGAGGCAATATAAATTATAGAAAGGTAAATCACTCATCACTTGTATTAGTATGGAATACTGCATAATTCATGGGATCTTCAATAGAATTATGCAATTTTAGAATTCATCCATATAGGAAGGCTAGACAACAAAAGATAATAGGGTGGGCTACAGGAATAAAATAAGGGAAAATGTGCAGGAACAGGGAGAAAGAGAGAAAAGAAATTGAGGTAGGAAAAAACATGTATGTGGAAAGGAAGTCCGGCATTCTTGGATGAGTGTAACATTTTTCATTCAAGTTTATCTAAATATGTGGTCTAATTTCGCTTCACACTCATACTTCATGTATGTAACAAACACATGTGTAGAAAATTGTGTTTGTTATATCTGCTTGCTTACTTCATGCTACAACCAATATTTCATCTTTGGGAGCTTAGACTTTATGTAACATTCCAAATCTGTAAGTTCTTCAAACATATGGGGTGGCCTTCTATTCATTCCTGGTCATCTAAGTAGCCATTTTTTTGTTGACTACAGGATATTTTTTGTACTTACACACCCAGAGGAGTTCTTGTATAGTTGGAATAGTTAGAAGACAAGCTTCCAGGATTCAGGCACCTTTTATCATATTTTGGAAAGAAGTGATCTATGTCCACAAGCCTAAATTAGGCCCTTGCTTTCCTTTTATAGTGCTTTTGGAGACAGAGGGCTTGCCAGTGCCCACCCTGCCTTTGCCCTTCCATAAAGGCTTCAAGCCTAGAAGTATGCTGGTGAAACTGCTCCTTGGGGTTGTTTCCAGCAGTTGCTCTCAAGCATAATAGAAACTGAGGGGCCAGATCTGGCTAGTGTACTTTGATTGGACCCTGCAGACAACATAGGTGAAGGAACACCTAGTTTGTAGATCTGAACTGGGCTTAGATGACCAGCTTAACCCTGCCAAGGCTCAGGCAATTTGGGTCATAACAAGAAGCAAACATTTAAGTGCCAGGGATACTTTGTCGATGAAAAATTTACAGATGAAAACATAGGTACTTAAAAGAACGCTTATGGGAATGCCAAGTAGTATAGGCTTGAGAGCCTCTAGGATTTAGAGGCAGTTGATCAAAGATTTTAAGGATGTAAATTTTTTATTTAGGCCTCCTCGGAGGCATTTAGGTGGAGCTAAATCTCTTCCATATGCATTAATTAAAAGACGACCACATTTTGTCTGCATTAGTTAGTTTCCCAAGACCTGCCCTCCCTAGAGAGAGATCATTACATTTTGATATATATCCCAAAATTGTAATCCAATATATAATGTCATCCACAGAAATGATAAATGGGTGACATTACATTTACAGTTCAGGTAAATGATAAGATAAAATGGGAGAGAGAGAGAGGGATTGAAAAGTATTTCAAAATATTGCAGATTCCTGTAAAGTAACACAGCACTCTAACCACAAGGTAGATGTTATCTGGCATCCTTTATAGCCCTCCCCTAAAAGCTGTCCTATATATAGTGTCTTCCAGTTAGAAATCATATTGATTTTGAAGAAGTACTCTCAATTATTTTTTAATAATAATTTCATGCCATTAGGCTTGTCTTTCCTCAAATAGTCAACTGTTAATTTAATAGAAAGTAACTCCATTTCCCTAATTTTTTTTTTTTTTAATTCTGGTTTTTTAAATGATATGTTGCTTTTTTTTTTTTTTTTTTTTTTTTAAACTAATGTAATGCATTTATTGAGTGTCTTCACAAACTTCAAGCACATAAGGGCATGTTCATAGCACCATGATCATGGTGACTTGGGGGGATGTGGGCCCTGAAATAATTCTTGTACCAATTATCTGTCCACAGACCGGTAGTTAAGACTGTTTTTAAAGCCCAAAACATTTTCCCTCCAATTCTCCTTATGGAAAAATATCTACATTTATGTTTGTCAACTTTTTGATGTTTTTCTCAATGTCACTCACTTTTCCTTCACAAGTCCCTTTGTAAGTATTTTCAAAGAACTTTCTCTTTTTTACATTTGTGCTATTTGGATGTGTTTATCAACTCTAGGATTATAGACATTAATTTAGGGCAGAGGTATTGAACTATCCCGCTCTGCAGAAGTTGTGTAGGTCAGATGAGAGGCATGGGGCTGGTCTGCAGGCTGGATTGGGCCACAGACTGGCCCCACACACTGGAGCCAGCACACAGGGCTGATCTGGCACAGGCACCTCATGTAGTACACACCCCAGAGCAGCCCTGGCACTGAGTACAGTATGTGCCAGCCTCAGTCTGGGACTCATGCACAGAGCTGGCTCAGGGTGCACACTGCATGAGGTACCCATGCTGGACTGGACCTTTGTACTGGCTCTGTTGTGTGGGGCCAGTCTGTGGGCCTAATTTGGACCAGCTCTGGAGTCAGTGTGCACAGCCAGTCTAGTGTGAATGCTGCATACAGTGTGCACCCCAGACCAGCCCCTTGTGCTGTGCAAAGCCCCTATGGCACTGGGTCCAGCCCCTTGCATTACATGCATCATTCACCAGACTGATTGGCTCTGTGCACCATATGCAGCTTATAGGACCAGGGCTGGTGCATGCCTCATGAAGCACTTGGGGTTGATCTGAGACCCATGGACCAAATCAGAGGAATCCACAGGCCAGATTTGTCCTGTGGGCCCTATCTTTGGCACCCTTAAATAAAGCCTTTGGGCCAGGCGTCAGATTCTTTTGTTTCCTGTCACTAGATAAGGTGAGCTTTCAAGTTGGGAGTCAGAGGGGGAAAAGTTCATGGCCAGATCTATGGAAGAGTAAGGGCTTTGGGCATATATAGCATCACATCTGGAACATCCTGATTTGCTTTGGTCATGTCATAGTTATTTTTTTCTTCGTTATTCTCACTATATCAGAAGCTATGGGTATATGTCTGGTGGTTATAGAGGTACTTCAATTTTAACACAGCTAAATGTGCCAACAGGTTTATTATAAGTACATAGATCAGTGTAAGAGGGCAGGCTCGAGTGGCACAGTAACACCTTCTGGTGACCACCAGACTCTGGCTCCTCCAGTTCCTGGGGGCCCTTCCCTCTTTTTCACTCACCTGCCACACCTTGGATGTTATTTGAAAATAGAGGATTGGGAGGTGACCGAAGTGCCCCAGAGAAACCATTTTGTTTAGTCCCTCTAACTCACTTTCTCTGTGTCTCTTGACACCTAGTGCCTTAAGGGCTGTGTTTGTGGCTTCCTACCTCACCTACAGATAAGCCCATGCCTTGCTGGTGTTACTGTTCAGCCACTTTCCCTTTGTTGGGGTCTTGGCCTTCTTGGCCTCTGCCCTCTTTCTCTCTGGGCCTTTTATCCCAGGCCCACTGTACTGGACCTGGTTTCTGGGCTCCAGCCCTTGTCTCACCTACTATGGCTCTGTGCTCTGCTTTGGGCACTGGGCTCTCCAGCCCTGTCTCTGCCTTGCTTAGGGCTCTCACCTACTTTGGCTCTATCCCCAACCCGCTTTGGGCATTGGGCCCCCTGGATCTATCTCTGCCCAGCTCTGGGCATTGCTGGGACCTCCTTCACCCCTAATAGTCCCCATCCAAACCACTGGTCTTAAACTATAACAAAGAAATTAGCCCTCTGAGTATAACACAACATAAAGGCAGGCTTATGCCTTAACTAAACACTCTCTCACTGGGTAAGTCAATGTTGTAAAGAACAAGTCATGCTATCACTTCAACACAGGCAGCCCTGCTTGGGCAGCCATGCAAGCAAAGAGAACAGGCCATCGCTTTAACATAAGCAAAATCCTCCCTGCTTGGAGTAAATGAATCTCCTCTGGGCATGTCCTAACCTAGGCCACTCACCCTGCACCCGAGGGTTCTGTCTCCTGCCTGAGTTCCCCAGTGGTTCCTTTCTTTCCCTTTTGGCTCCCTGCAGAGCTTTCTCCAGCAGCTGTTCTTTTCACAGAGTGCTATCCTCTGACTGCCTCCAGGCACACCCTTATCTTGCCCTGTCCATCAGCATACTTGGAGCGGGTGAATCCCTGGCTCTCAATTGTTTATCCTTTTTGCTAATGAGCCTCTCTCCCTCCCTGTGGCTGCCTACATTTATAGTCTGCAAGTCTTACATTGGCTGTTCATTTACACACGCAGCAGCTGTTTTGGTGCATTTTCCCCTTTGTCCGTAACAGGAGTCTCCGGCTCCCTGTTACAGTCTGATTCTAGTTCACCTATTAGGCATGGAAGTACTTAGAAAGGTATTCTGATTTCATCCAGAAAAGTCTGAAGTGGCATTGAACCTGTAGCCCAGTGACTAGGGCAGTCTCTTAAGAAATGTGATTCTCAGATTCTGGTCCTTGCCCCCAGGACTGTTTCTGTATTTTAAGTTAAACAAGTATTACCTAAATTGCATAAGCAATCCCCAAGTAGGGTAATCAGGACCTCCCCACCCCACAGCAGCACACTCCCTCTTGTGCTCTGTCTTTCTGGCACCAAGAATCTTGCATTTCTTTCTCCAAAGTAGTCCACCTTTAACAGGGTTGGGTAGAGAATTCCCCCAAAAGAATGGCCTAAGGTCATATGGTTAGGATATTCTTCTTGCAGGCAGGAGATATGGTTTTGAACCCCCTGATGCTGGGGAGGGCACTGAACCCAAAAGCCACACTTCCTGGGGACAGCTCTCAACCTGAGGCTGTTAGGTTAAAGATGAATACTTAGGTACTACAGTGACTGGAGACATGTAAGCAAGTAAATGAGATATGCAACAATGAGGAAAAACAAAATCAATCCTCCTCCTCCCCATCAAGTCTAGGGCAAAACTTTCATTAACTTCAAAGGAAACAGGAGCAAGCCCATATATTGTGGTGATGCATGTAGTTGGTCAGGGAGAATTCCATTTTTTACAGTGTTGGTAGATTGAACATTATATATGACAAGATGGTATTTTTACTGGAAACAAATCTTCTTAGGTTACAGCTCTGAACCACAAGTACTTCAGGAATCATATAGAAGACTGCCTTTCCCTGGGAAGACCTCTGTTAATAGAAGATGTTGGAGAAGAACTCGATCCTGCTCTAGATAGCATTTTGGAAAAAAATTTCATAAGATCTGGCTCAACTCATAAAGTAAGATGACTTTTAAACACAAAAATAAAAGGGCAGTAGACTTGATACCTCAAGACAAATGCTAACTACATGTCATAGTGATGGGCACCTTTGAAATGAACAGATACTACTTATTTTAATTCTATTTTTGATTCTTCTATAAGTAAGATTAACTTTCTTTGGAAAAAAGATCATAATTGTTCCTTGGAATGCTAGCCTATGAAAATTAAAAATCTATTTCTCTTTTATTTTCAGGTAAAAGTAGGTGACAAGGAAGTAGATGTGATGACGGGATTTACGCTTTATATAACAACTAAATTAGCTAATCCGTCCTATACTCCTGAGCTCAGTGCCAAAACAGCTGTGATTGATTTCACTGTTACCATGAAAGGATTGGAAGATCAGCTCCTTGGCCGTGTCATCCTCACTGAAAAACAGGTAAGTGCTAAGCCTTGGATCAGTAGTATTTTAATATGTATGAAAGAAAATATTTCCCAGTATGTATATCGTGAGTGGATTTGTTTTGCATCTTGGCCAAGCTCAAAGAGTGTCATTAATAAAATGTGAATGAAAGCTGAAGTCTTCTTGGGTTTACTTCCACACAAGACAAAATGTGAAGCTAGACTTTTAACAGGTGTTGAGAATTTTTAGGTTGAAAACCTCTGAAAATCTGTCTTGTGGAAAACATAGACTAGAGAAGAGAAAAAAAACCCAGGGATTTGCTAGTCACCAGTAGGGCAGGAAGGAACATTTATCCATCATGAATGCTACTGGCTTCCAGAGGATTGCTGCTGGCTTCCTGCCCACCTGCTCCTGATTGCAGACACTGAACCCAGAAATGAAATGGTGAACTCACTCCAGGGGCACCACTGGCCTCCACTCTAGAGATAACTGCTTCCTGTGTATTTTGAGAATAATGGCAGGGATGTCCCTGGAGCAGCTTCACCACTTTATGTCTGTGTTTGGTTCATGTGGAACAGAAGTGGATGGGTGGGGCATACTTGTGGGCAGCTCCTCTGACAGCCCTAAGGATGTCATGTAGTTAGAACAATGTCTGCATTAGCATGCACATGCAATCTGAATGGAAAACATTAAATTGCAGGTTTCCAAAGAGAATGATTTTCAGATTTTAGAGTAAAATCACACATTCTTTGAAACACCAAACAGCATTTCTGTTGTCTTGGTTATTGGAGCAAATGAAAATAAATAGAAAAGAGTTATAGCTATAGAGAAATGAATGTTTAAAAATTACTGATTTCACCCTACAAAGTGCTTGAACTCTTCTCTGCTGAGAACGATCCTGGGGCCTTTCTAGAAAGTGGGGCTATGCTACATCCATTTCCTAGCTACCCCATCACTTCACTTCCCAGCTGCCAATTTATTTGATCTTTTAAGTCTACCTTTTGCTAGTTCTTCTTGGAAATTACAACCTAATAATCTTATCAAAATGGATTTTTTTTATTAATGGCCTACATTTTCATTACTGAACATGCTTCAGAATAAAATAAAAAGAGGGTGCAATAGATTTTATTTCTACATAACATTTTCGCATCCTATAGAAATGGTAGCAAAATCCCCAGTCTTTCTATGATGCATGACATCCCACATTTTTGGCGTGGGTATAAGTAACATTTCTTTTGAATTCATCTTAAAGATTCTAATCAATATTATATACTACAGGAGCTAGAAGCAGAAAGAGTCAAGCTGATGGAAGAAGTGACGTTTAACAAGAGGAAAATGCAGGAACTTGAAGACAATCTTCTTGTCCGTCTAACCAGCACAGAGGGGTCTTTGGTTGAAGACACATCTTTGATAGAAGTCCTAAGAATCACTAAAATAACTGCAGAGGAGGTGAATTTTGAATACACTAGAAATGTATTTTGATATTTACAGACTCTCTAAACAGAATTGTCTCCCTATTTTTGTTCCTGAGTTTATTACGAGTACATAAAATGGTGACTTTATAACAAGTACATAATACAATATTGCTATTCCCAGTGAACAAGTCAGATATGCATATTACATGCAATGTAAAATTCTGCATGAGCACTTTTGTATTACAGTAAAGTAGCAGGCCTAATCAGGATCAGGTGACAATGTGCTTTGTGCTGTTCAAATAAACATGAAAACACATTGCCTATATTGACGCTCTT